AAACCCACCTCACTCCTAAAACCATCACAGTCTTCAGGGGAAGAAACATCTACAGGTGCGTGTGTGCTCAGTCGCGTCTGACTCTTTGCAACCCCATGGACTGTAGCCCACCAGGTTCCTGTCCATGGGATTTCCCAGGCAAGAATACTGGAGGAGTTGTCATCTCCTCCTCCAGGGGATCTTCCCAACCTGGGGATTGAACCAGAGTCTTTTGTGTCTCCTGCATTAGTAGGCAAGTTCTTTACCAGCTGAGCCAACATCTATTCAATCTGTAAAAAAGCAGCTGGCCGCCATGCTGTGATCAAACTGGGCTGGGCTTTGACCCTTGACCCAGCCTCTTTACCATCCATGATAATTATCCATGGTAATTGTCCATCTCTCCCTGCTATGTGTGGGGCATGTACTGTGTGTGTACACAGTAGGCACTCAAATACTTGATGGGAAGAAGGTGGTATTTAAAGTGCAGTGTGAGGGACTTGCATTAGTTTTAAGAGTGACTTCCCAGGGCAAGTAGTCAAATATGTGTACATCTTGGATCTCTGGAGGCCAGTTATGCACCTCTGCTAAAGTATTAAAAGTCCTTATTGCTAGTGGCTGCTCTGGACAGTTATGGACACACTGGACATTTATGTGGTTGTTAGACTTGGAGAACATCAGCCTTTCAAAATTAAAAAAACAAAAATAGGATTCCTTCCTCCATCTTCATTAACTTATACTTAGGCAAAATTCTGCAAAGGACCTGTAACAAAATGAGAAAAATATGGACAAATTAAACAAGTATAACATAAAGAGTTAATTATTTGATTTAAAGCGTTCTCCTTTACTCTGACCTTATGCTCTTCTCGTGTTTTGGTATCAAAATGTCTTGGTAAGAAGTGATAGTGATAAGAGAAAGACCAATATTATATGACATTGCTTATATATGGAACTTTAAAAAATTATACAAATAATTTATTTATAAAACAGAAGTATTCATAGAGACATAGAAAACAAACCTATGGTAACCAAAGGGGAAGGGGAGGGGGGAGAGATACATTAGGAGTTTGGGATTAAAATATACACAGTACTGTGTATAAAATAGATAATCAACAAAGGACCTACTTTATAGCACAAGGAGCTCTACTTGATATCCTGTAATAACCTATAATGGAAAAGAATCTAAAAAATATAACTGAATCACTTTGCTGTACACTTGAAACTAGCAAACATACTATAAATCAATATATTTCAATAAAGATTTTTTTTTTAAACCAAAAATAAATAAATAAATAAATAAAAAGAGTTCTTTCTCAGCAAAATAAGAAGTGCCAAAACTTTCTAGTCATATTGGGTAAGGAAGAGGGGGTGGGGATTAGGAAAGAAATTTTGGGTAGAGAAATTCTTTAAGTATGAAAAGGAAAACTGAAACACTAGAAGATTATAGAGAATATCCTTATGACCTTGAGGTGGAAAAAAAATTTCTTAAATGAAACACAAAAAGATATGATTTCCTCTAATCTTAAGAGGAAAGATAAAAGTTTGACTACATTAAGAACTTGATTCAGCAAGAAACCATAAAGAATGAAGGTAAACCACAGAACAAGGAATCTGCAACACAGCAAAGAAACAGTACCCGGAAATCTCTATCAACATATATCTATAGACAGACATATACACACATACACACTCAAGCAAATAAGAAACAGATAGACTAATAGAAAAATGGGTAAAAAACAAACAGGCATTTGCCCAAAGTGGAAATGTGAACAATCAATCAATAAATAAAAAGGTACTCAATTTTACTAGTACATCCGGGAAATGCAAATTAAAGCCCACAATGAGATACCATTTTACACTCACCGAATCAGGAGAAATTTAAATTCCTGATGATACCCAAGCATTGGGAACAATGTGGAACAATGCTGTTCTCATGCCCTGCTGGTGGGAGGGTAAAATAGTACCATCTCTTTGAAAACAAGTTGACATTAACAAAAAAGTTTAGAGGGATACATATTTCCATGCCCCTAGTTTCATTCCCGCATTTATACCGTACAGAAAATGCGCATTAGGTGCACTGGAGGTATACTCTAGAAGGGTCAGAGCAGCACTGCTCATCACCAGAACCTCAAACCAGAAATAGCCAACACCTACCCACAGTAGAGGGGATAAACTGTGCAGTTGTACAGTGAGACAGCTTAGGAAGCAGTGAAAGAGAATGATCTCCTAAAACCAAAATTAGGCAGAAAAAGACAATACCAATGAGGTGATTCCATTTATACAAGTTCAAAGACCAAAACAATGCTTTGTGTATATATACATAGAAAGGAGGAGGTAGAACTATAAAGAAATAATTATCTCCAAAATCAGAGAACCAAATATCTCTGGAGGAAGAATTATGCTCTGGGAGAGACACAAAGGATGGGGCATTTTAGGTGCTGGCAATATTCTATTTTCTCCTCAGGCATCGGTTGTATGATTGGTTAATGTATACGTTTCTTTCCAGATGTATATCTCACACTTAATTTGCCATCCCTTTCTTAAAGTTTTGCTAGCTGAAAATCTCCAAAACTGGGAAGCACCTATTTGTGTGGTGCTTAATAAAGGCATTACCAACTCGATGGACATGAATTTGAGCAAACTCTATGAGATGGTGGAGGACAGAGGAGCCTGGCATGCTGCAGTCCATGAGGTTGCCAAGAGCCAGACACGACTTAGCAACTGAACAACATCAACAACAAAAGCTGAGTCCAAGTATTTTAGAAAGAACTTAGGTTAGCCCCAGGGGAGACTCTGAAGAACAAGAGGAGCTGAAGCTGACGTTCAGTTAGTGTCTACACGGCTTCTCTCAATAATGCTCATCCAACAGCTAGAGGGAAGGAAAGTGTCACCACAGCAAAGGTGTCAGTTAGCCGGGGGCTTGTGGAGGCCAGGGGGTCACTGGAGAAGCTCGGGACATTACTGTGTGGCAGACACTGAGTGCCTGATTTAGGAATCTGGATTTAATTCTGTAGACAGTTAAGTAGACTTGGAGGATTATCATGTAGCAAGGGACAATTAAAGATACCCTAAAGTCTTAGGGAGATGAATCTGGGTGTGAGGGGTAGGGAAACCAGTAAGGTGCAGGCATAATGGACTAGGGATGATGGAAGTGAGGGCTTCCCCAGTGGCTCAGCGGTAAAAAAATGCCACAATTCAGGAGACAAAGGACATAAATTCAATGCCCATTGGGAAGATCCCTTGGAGGGCATGGTAACCCGCTCCAGTGTTCTTGCCTGGAGAATCCCGTGGACAGAGGAGCCTGCCGGGGCTACAGTCCATGGGGTCACAGAGTCAGACACGATTGAAGTGACTGAGCAGAAACGCACAATGGAAGTGAAGTTAGAATGAGATGGACAGAGATGAGTTACTGAGGAACGGTGAGAACTTAGTGATTGAGCCAACTTTTTCAAAAACTTATTTTCTGTCCTTCCCAGCCCTTCCTTTCTAAAGTTAACGAGAGAGATTCTGCTTTACAAGGATGAGTGACCTGAACCACATAAGGTCAGAAGAGGACTAGCAGACAGACTGGATGCTGAGAGCCTGACTGAGGCTTCAAAATTCGCTGCAACTACTTGAGAGTACTGCCGGGGAAGGGGTGAGTGGTGGCAGTGGGCCTTTTCAGCAGCGGTAGAGTTGTTTGACCAGCAAGTTTTAAACTTTTCATTATGAAAATTCTCAAACATATACAACACCGGAATAGTCTAACAAACTCCTGTGTACTCATTACCTGGCTTCAACAATGATCAGTATCTTCTCAAGTGACTTTCATCATCTTCCCCACAGTGTACAGCTCTGAGCCCCAGGAGTGAAGCCAGGTCCAGTGGAGGATAAAACCTACATTTAGAAATATTTGAATCTTAGTTTTTGTGTTCTGTGGGAAAGTCAGTGGTTCCAGAAATAGGTATATACATGGGATCAAGAGCAACGAGTATGACCATTCAGTTCTACGCCAGAGGCTCCCAGCCTCTGACTCCATAGTCATACAAAGCATGTTACCTATGCTGATGACTAGACCTTAGCCGTCTTGACTGGAGTGGATCAGTCATGTGACGTGAAAGTTGAAGGCTGGTTGGGGGTTTGTTGATCGTAAACATGGACAGATCAGTTCGGTTACTGAGCAGTTCCCCGAGCCTGTGATTACTGCAGGAGGAGGGAAGCCCTTCACAATGGGTGATCCCTTGGAAGAAACTGACTCTATAATCATGCTCCTTCCAGATGTTGCCAGATTTGTTGATTGCATCTCCCATCCTATGAGAATGAACGCCAGGCAACGCTGATCCGGGAGACAAAGGGAGACCATCCTCTCACCATGGCAGAGCCTGACGTGTTGGTCCTTGGGAAGGCAGGTCCTTGGGAAAGGGGAGATGCCAGTACTGTTGAGCTCTACTGCCTGAGTCACCTTGTCAGATCCAGGCAGAAAACAGTCCATGCTGTAAGAACACTGGTACCTTAAACTTAATCCTGCATTCAAGGAAGTGCCCATTCCTGGGAGGGCAAAGAAACCTGTCTCCTTCTTTAAAACTGTTTTGCAAAACAGCTGTAAGGAAAGAAACCATGGTACATGGAAATACATATGAAAATGTGTTAGGAGTCCTCAGTGGCAATGTCAAGGATATTTTGAAGTTCACCAGTCCAGGTGGAAAAATAAATTGCTTATGCCAATGCCCCTGTCCCATGGGGATTTCTGTCGGTGAGCATGTGACAAGATGTTCCTGCATGACCAAGCTCTGTTTGGTAAATGTGACTGCATGCTGAGCAGCCCCAGGTTCTGAAGACTCTTGCTGTAAGGGCAGCCACCTCACAGACTGAAGTACCACCGTAAGTAATTTCAAAATGAGAGAGAAAAAACGAGCAACAAGTCCTCTAGTTCTGCTAGCTTCCTAACAAATGAAGCTGGCCCTTCTGTCCATTGCTGAAACAGGCCAGAAACCACACTGACAACATGAAGGGTACTTCTAAGAAGACAGACCAAGTACACTGTATGCAGGACAAACAGGATAATTTATTCTCATTTTTCCTTAAAAGAAAGATACAGTAGAAGTTTTATAATTCAGTATGATTAGATGTGATTTATAATTTTAACATTAAAAAAAAACAAGTGACAACAGAAACAAATAACTAGTACAAATTATAAAACTAACAGAGCAAAGAGGAACTACCTTTCTGATCGGAACATGTACCACAGCTATACTTCCTTAGAAAACTTTCTAAGATTTCTAAGCTAAAACTTCTTAGAAAGGGATTGGAGGAAAGCCTTTACTCTCAAGTATTTAAACTATTCCTGTACCCACTAAATGCTTTCACCAACTTGTTAATCAAGTGCTTCCTAAATTTAGGAACCAGTGACCAAGTGGCCTGAAATAAGTCTTGATCTTATCTTTCCAGCTATAAATTATAACTATTTCAAGAAAACAAAATATTTTCTAAGCAATGTTAAGTTTTCTAAAAACTTCAATTACCTTTTCTGGCTCAGTACCTGACTGAAATGTTCAAATGTTCATATTGCACACAAAAAAATTTGAGCAGCATACTACATGAGTGTGAGAAGCTGATGAATATTAAGACTGAGGAAACTCCCTAATGAGTCACATTTACATGATTTAAATATATACTTTCTATATCTTTAATTAATATAAGTAAAAAGGTAATCTTTAGAACAGCACAGAAATACAAATGCATTAGTTTTATAAAATATATTCAACCCCTTATACGTGCAACAATCTTTTAATTTTGGAGCTGCCACACAAGGGAGCTAGTTTCTTCTCCTTCATATGAAAGCAGGAAGTCACGTGTACAAAGTTATTTATGTGAAAAGAATAAAGAAACACATTCCTTTTCTTTGTCTTTGACAAATATTTATGGAATGTTGGGAATTATGAAAAAACAGTTCCAATGTTACGAAGCCCAAAGACTTGGAATGAAAAAGCTCCTAGTGACACATTGCACTATGTGGAATGACAATCTTCTTCTAGAAACCAGGGCTGCGTTCTCTATCTTGTTTAGAGGATACCACAGAACTGGGTGGACAGACTGAATACTGTGCCATCTCTGGCCACACAGTCAGAGCATGCCAGTGTCAATACCATCTCCAGAGCCCCAACCAACTCCCCAATAGAATAACAGGCCACATTCATCGGCTACCATCGTAATAGGCTACTTTCCAAAACTGCTGAAGCAGATAATAGTTCAAGGTTTCAGGATTAGTCCACTGGCCTCTCCCAGAGCTGGGTGTTCCTAAACTCATCACCACGCCTCAGGGAAAAGGACCACTGGCTTGAACTTCCACAAAATCAAACCAAAATTTGCCTGCCAGGGAGACAAAGCTTCATTTTACAGCTTGTAACTAGCAGATGAAAAAATCTAACTTCTTCATTAAAGAACTCTTATATCCTTTAGCATATTAAATACTGCTCCCAAAATACTTTCATGCAGACTTTAAGAACCTGTCTCTTGGCTTTGCAACAATAAGTGTCTCATCTCTGCCTTCAAAGTTTGTTTCCTCCTTGCCTTTCTAAGTAAATTATCCTAAAAAAAAATTCAATGCTTAATATAGGACTCAGAAAGCAAGATAAGGTTGAGGAGATCAGGTCATATGCTCTGGTCTGCTGGCCAAGAATATTACTGCTGTGTTTCTTAAAGCAAAAAGTAGAAAAGAATTGTTTTAGGACCTGAGGGCTGGCAAATCACTAACGGATTTGGGTATAGACTATTCATCCTGGTTACATGAGCCAATGCAAATGCAAAATAACCACAAGACATACTTTGACAGGCAACTTCTATTCATTAGCCTGGGACACTTGGGCCAGCTTTAGCCCTCTTTCCCTTACCTATGTCACTGTCATTACAGTGCCGAGTAGGAATGAAAGCCAGCCAGGGACTTTTTCCAAACACTATCTTTAAGTCATCTGGATAGCAGAGAAGTGTCCACCAAGCTGTGGATGCAGTCTGTGTGCCTGGCGCACTCTGAAAAAGCCTGGCTGACCCTAGCTCCCTCAGGCCTACTTAAACACACTTAGTTCTCAGATGAAAGCACTGTGTGGCCAAGCAAAGCACACTTCGTTACCAGTGAGATGTCCACAGGTGGCCACAGCCGTGCTGGCTGCTATGGCTCACAGAGCCAGTGGCTGGAGGAAGCTACTGTTTCCAGGCTGCCACTGAGTGGAGCCCAGAATCCAAACCTGAAGCACGTAGGCCCCCAGGACCAGGGGCCAGGCTTCCTGCCTCTACCTGTGCTGGCTGCCCTGGGGTCCCAACAATGTGACAGCCTGCACTCCCTGAAGACCCCCATACCTCCCAGGACCTGAAAGAATAAATATAGTTATGGTCTTTTGACCATCTCTATGACTGAAGTTCTATCTTCTGAAATACTCATTTTATGTTGAAAGCCAGTTAAATGACCACTGTAAGGGTGGAACTCTTAACTGGAAATGTGAAGAGAACGTTCCATTAAGGTGTGCATTAAAATGGGGAGTGAGAGCAAAGCAATGTTAAATTTTATGTAACTATTTTTATTTCAGTGGGATTCCAAAGTGGATTGGGCTGCTTTGAATGATGAGAGATGAGAATTCACCCCAATTGTACAAATCATACAAACTAAAGGATGAACCAGCAGCGTGCTGGCTGACCCCTCACAGCACTATGAACACTATCTGATACACTATCATACTCTATCCAATGAAGTGCCCTCATGAAACAGCGAGATGTTCATCTCAGTGCAACTTTAAAGTACCTTTTAAAACTTTTGTTTGGTACTACCTTCTTCTCTTCAAACAGTATTTTCCTGAGAAAGCTTTCCTAGCAGAAGTGAAATTAATATTTCCCACAGTAAGCCCTTTATCATCAATGAATTCTTAAATCATTATACTCAAAGGGAAGTATGCTTTTAGGTTTATAGGACTTGTGTTAAAACACAAATTGGAAAATTCAGGGATATTTAGATTATGTCCCTATGCTTCATTTCACATGCCCCAGTAAGTGCTTCTTACACAAACATTTCTTAAAGGATAAATCAAATATAATTAAGAGTCCTCCCTAATTAGGCCCCCGATTTTCTCAATACTCATCACATCTAATGTAGGTTATATTCACAATGTGTTTCCCAAGTATCTTTTGTTACTGAAAAACCAGTCTGTTGCCTGTAAGTACTCCCTGAGAACACCCAATCAAAGTCCCCTCGAAAAGCAAATGAGAGCTGAGTCTGGCAGCTACATGAGGTCTAGTTGTGTAAAAACCTTCAGTAGTGAGCACACCTGTGTCTAACATGAACCCAGGTGTCCTTCACAAAACATGACTAATGTCATGGCTGAAGTTTTCTTCTCTTGCTTTTCTAAATTGAGCCAAGATGAGAATTCTATTTAATATTTACAGATCATCTTGCTTTTCTTTTATAAATGCTTTTGGAAGGGGGTAGACATTGATTACAATGAGGATTTTCTATCAGGGAAGGAGGAAGGCCAAGTGCCTTGAAAAACTTCATGAAGAGTAAGACTGAGGAAAAACCTGTTAAATCTGTAAACACCCAATGGAAAACCGTTCAAAAGAAGAAATAGAAGGCACAAACTTCAGGTTAAAAAATGCATGTAAAGATTGCCACCTTACTACAACCAACAGAACCCACCTAGGTCTTTAAGTCTTGCCCTAAATACAGTTAAACTGCTTCAACTCTGCTGTAACCATCACCATGCTAATTCTTTGCACATCTACTTGAACAATTAGGAAGAGGAAAAAAGCACAGTGACACTCCTTGACACTTCAAAGCAAGTGTGTAGGATGGGAAAATGATAAATTAAAATCACAAAACACTCCATCCTCAGAACTACCACCTCTGACGCCTACGGTTTCCAGGAGGAAGTGAATGACAAATTTGTTTTGTAGGTAGAGAACCAACAAACAAAAAAATCCTCATATAACTCAGCAAAATAACAGCAAAGGGTTGGATTGTATGGCCCCTCCACGCTATCAGAACATTTTAGGGCTCGCTTTAGAGAAATTAAAAGAGCAATATAACTTAATCTTAGCACATATAAATATCCATCTGGATATTCAAACAGCAACAACAGAACAAAACTTACATCAAGGAGAAACTTTTCTAAAGTAAACAAATGTATAATGTCAGAACTCAAAATTCATTAAAAGGTTCACTGTGTGTTTTAATCAGGCTCAGACTGAAATAAACGTAGTCAATTTAAACCCCAACCTGGGAAGCCATCCCGGCTGCGGTTGTGGTTTTCATCTTTTCAGTGTCCCACGACATTCATTTAGACAGAGGGCAACCGTCCATGTAAACAGTTCGACCTATTGGTCCCCTGCTGTGGACCTGCGGCCGATGAAGAGGAACAGTCTGGGAGCAGCAGACAGACAGGGGACGCTTAAAACCTAAGAAAGCGACAGCAGCTTCTGGGTGGCTTGCTCGGCTCAGGGTTTCCCGTCAGGCAGCTCAGTGAGACTCTGTGGAGTGGAGCTGGTGAAAGTGGAAAGCCATGAAGACATAGCTGTCTTCGCGCTGGAAAAAGCTCCTCCAACCGACTGGCCTGAGTGGAAAGGAGGGGAAAAACAGAAGGAAAACAGTCTTCACTTCTGTTAAGAGACACTGAAAAAACCAATGCTACTTAACTGCAACACTTTGATATGTTAATAGGTACTACAATAAAATTGACACTTCTAATTTCAAAATAATCCCTTACCATGGGAACGTCTAAGAGGAAACTGACTAGTGTCTGGGTATAAGACACTGCTCTCCTAAGTATTTTGAAAGTCTTTGGGAAACTCTTCCCAGGCCAGTGGTTCTTAAACGACTTGGAGAGCTACAAAAAAAAAAACAAAAAACAAAAAAACACCCCAACAAAACAAAACCAAACTTCTGTGTGCGCTCTGTAACCCAAATCCAAGTTTATAACTGAAAACCACCTTCAAGAAAGAGTTGTTAGTCTGCTTAGGGAAATTTGTTATTGTCATCTAAAATCATGTTGCATCACAGGACTTCCCTGGTGGTCCAGTGGCCACCTTACAACGCGGGGGAAAACGGGTTTGATCCCTGGTCGGGACCTGGCATCCCACATGCCTCGGGGCAACTAAGCCTGTGCGCCACAACCAGAGAAAAGCCTGCAACAGGCCCGAAGCACTCAAATAAGTAAAATAAATAACCATGGTGCACCAAATGAAAACATACAGAGCTCTACCTGCCTGAGGTCTGTTTTGTTTTTAACAGCATTATCTCAAAAGCTGATGTTATAATGAAATTATTTAAGTTGAATCATACACACTCACTGTTCTTGGAGAGGGGAGTGTGGAAGAAGGGAACAGGTCATAGAATTTAAATATCAGCAGCATCAATAAAAATTAACTGACATCATATACTTTTGATGAAGTAGAATTTTTCTACCAAAAACAAAGAATTCAAAATAAGTCAAAGGTATAATATTGTATGGAAATAAATGCTTATATATTTAGTTCTATTCCTTTGTACAGGGGTGATAGGACTGTGTATCTCGCGTTTGTCTTTAAGTCTGTAGAACAGTTCTCTTACCCATCTCCAGATGTACAGGACATTAGAGCTAGGAGGGCCCTGGCACAGAGATCACCTAGTTCCGGGGCTTTAGAGTTGTGTTCAGTAAGGGCTAGCCAGCTAACCCTTAGCTAACCCTTAGCTCTCAGAAGCTAAAGAATGAAATGGGCCCTATTTTTAATACTGGTATTACAAGACAAAAGTAGCTGAGTGTAAATAACTGGGCACCTGAGATAAGTGGGAGTTCCCTGGACACTGTTGCATTATTTCTTTAAGTTTGAAATAGTATAAAAGTAAACAGTTAAAAATATAGGAAAGAAGGAACAAGAAATTTCTTTAGAAAAAGAGATGGAATAATCTTCAAAACAGCCAAAGTGAAAAAACCTAGGTACAGAACGGTATACCTAACAACCATTTGTCTGGTTTTGGTATCAGGGTAATACACCTTCATAAAACAAGTTGGAAGGTATTACCTCAACCATTACTTTCTGAAAGAGTTTGTATAAAATTAGCATTATTCCTTAACTGTTTGATAAAATTCATAAGTGAAGCCACCAGGGCTTAGATTATATTTAAAAACTTGTAGCAAGCCTTTAAACTTTAACTCAATTTATTGAATATATTTAGGGCTATTCAGATTTTCTATTTCTTTACTGCATTGGTTTTGGCAATTTGAGTCTTTTAAAGATTTTGTAGATTTCATCTAAGGAGTTGAAAAACTGGCACAAGATTATTCATAGTATACCCTTATTAGCCTTTTAATTTCTGTAAGATCTGTAGTGGTATCCCCTCTTTCATGCCCCATACTGGTCATTTGTATCTTCTTTTTCTCTTTACTAGTCTGCAGAAGTATCATTAATGTGATCTTTTCATAAAAACAATTGTTGGTTTTCACTGATCTTCTTTACTGTGTGATACTACCTTAAAAGACAGCTGCTCCTAATGCCCACTTTATTATTATGTAAATAATACTCTATTATTTATAAAGAACTGTGGGCAGCTCAGGGGACAGAGGGAGAAATCCAGAGAAGTTTGACTCCTGATAACAGAACAGATATGACAACATTTGCTAAACTTGGTTTGGCATTATCTAGTGTCACAAGAATTGTTTTAATGAATAAAACCAAAATTAAAAAGAAAAACCTCTGTATATTCAACCATCTCGCACCATTATGTGATACACACATGTCTACAACTTTATGTTTTTATCAGTGACATGCTGAGGATAGAGAAGAGATGTTTTATGATTCCAATCTGTTCCTGCCTAAGACATCCTTACCAACAGCTTTTCCTGTTTGTACAACATTCCGACTTGTTGTAACCATGACGTTTCCAAGTTTTTTGCCACGTTCACTGTTTTGAACAGAACTGAGTAAAGGAGAGAAATGTTAAGTAAGTACAGTTAGAAAAAAAATTACTCACATATACATTAGCCACTCTATAATCATCCCCCAAATCAGAATTATTGAGAAAAGAAGATAAATAATTCATTATTTGTTATACATAAATTAATCTACTAATATTTTAAGTACAGAAATTTTCAGAAAATTTTAAAAGAATATACAGATGAGCCAGAAAGTGGTATAAGGACATAAGGATGTATGGTTATACATAATTCGTATGGTCATAATTTGCTAAAGTTACTTCACCAGAATAAAAATGGCAAATCCTGCTATTAGTTCACACCATTCTCCATGAAACAGCAGTGTTTTCATTTTGAAACATACACACTGCTGAGCTAGAGAACGTTATGCACATATTTGGTTACTATTTGAAGCACAAGTCTATGAAGTGGAGAAAAACAATTCCCAATTAGCGATGAAACACATGGCATGAATTCAGACAGAAGAATGTTCCTAGGATTTTCCCTAAATACTCACTGTGAGAATCTTAACTTCATGTCTGACACTGAGTACTGTCCTTGGAAAGGATGGCTGTAAAACAAAGTTTGAGTTTAGACTATGGGTCTCTCACCAACAAAGCTGCACCACAGAGTTATCACAAGGAAGTATCAGGAAACTGCACTGGGGTGACTCAGGCGGGCGGCGGTGCTCCAAACGCGATCCCGGAAATAGGGTTCTGATCACAGCTCTCCACTCACAGTCACGGGAGTCTCTCTCAGCTTATGTACTCTGCTTGTAAAATACGTGTTTTTTTTCTTGGGTGGGGTTGGTTTATGTTTAGTGCCGCCCTAATGTTCTTCTTTGGTCTGAGGTGGGGCCCAAGCACCAATATTTTAAAAAAGCTCCTGGGACAGTCAGGGTTAGAATCCCTGACTTTGGCCATGGCTTGATTCTGGCCATCTTATAAATGGGTGCTATTGGTTAAAGGACAATTTAATCTGTGTTATCAGAAAAGCAACTCAAAGTGCAGAGCTTAGGGAAACAGTATATATAAAAATCAGGTAACCTGATCAACGTTACACTATAAAACAAGGACTCAGTAAACATTCAGATTCTTAACTCATACACAGGGCAGGGGTCCTTCTGTCAATGTCTAACAAAGAAAGTGACCCTGGTGAAATTTGCAGCCACTTATTAAAACATCAAAATGCTATTATGTGGCTCTTTCATGTGAATGTATGGCAAAAACCACCACAATATTGTAAAGTAATTAGCCTCCAATTAAAATAAAAAAATGCCATTATGGCTTTTCAAATGATAACAAATTTATTTATTGGTCACATTAAGCATACATAACAACCTCTCTTTTTTCTGGATTTCCGAATCATCAGTTGAAAGCATTGAGAGGACTTAATTTTCTAATCTTCAGGAGTGGAAGAAAGGGTTTCAAAGATCTCAAACCTTACATTTAGTTTTGAATGTTTCTAAATTATACCCCCTGATGACAGCTGAAGCCTATCATTTCTTGTTTTTCATTTGGTGAAAATGCTGAAAACCTGCTGGCTATCATATCTGCATAATTCCCCTATCTAATTTTCTGGTCTTTTGCTTCAGCTTTCTTTCTCCTCAACCTAAATAACCTCAATTATTTACATAGTTTTAAAAGTACTGTTTTTACAATCCTTTAAAACACATGCCAGCTAATCCTCATAAGGACCTGCATTAAAATCTGTAGTGCTGCTTCAAGTTAAAGGCACTACAGCAGATGCAGCAGCTGAGTAAAGATCTGTCCAGGCTGACAGAGCCCCAGGGGAGGAGACAGACCTGTGAACGGTCACTCCCCCAGCACCAACCACTACAACCAGCGCCACAGGCAAGCAAGCTCACATCTGTTTCTCTTCACTACTCCTTAGAACACAGACCTTGTGGTTAGAGAGGGAGAGAACTTTGAACTTAGTCCTTTCATTTAATTCCATTACAGTGTATTTGCCTTTTAATTCTCTATGTTTTTACCACATCCAAATGGCAATCTAGGTTTCTGCCATAGCCCAGTATGAGGACTAAAGTCACTAAAACTGCCTGAACCTAGTCACGGTTCTTGATGGATAAGTTTAGCAGACATGTTCTCCCAAGCCCTGCTTCCTTGCAGATGCTTCTGCAAGTTACAATGACATAAATCCCTGGATTTTGTGTGTGCAGCCCCACTAAAGCACATCCCCAAGTCAAGATTACCCTAGTTTCTAAATAATATGGTAACCAGTACTAAGTTGATTTTTGTCATATTTTCATGAAGAAGTTTAAAATACAAGTGAAACATGGTGCTGCAATGATACTCCAATAAAAATTAATTAAAAAACACATACACAAAAAAACCACAAATGAAAACAAAAGTTCAATGTATACTTATATGATAAAGAAATTAAAATCCTTTAATTTAGAAGTTCCCAATATGTACACATTATATCAACTGATCTCGTTAGACTCCACTCTCCCATTCACATGGTATTTTTTCTTAATGGCCCAATTCTCTAGCACATTTAAATGCCTTTTATGTGGAATAAATTCTTTGCCCAGTCAACAGTCAATATTATGACAGGTATTAAATTTTGTTGGATCTTAGAATCTGATATGGAAATGGCACCAGATTTTACCGATTATCTAGGAATTCAAATATTGACTTTAGTTGTTCACACTTCATATTTTACAATAACCTCTCAGTTTTAACCAGTGCTATTTCCCTCAAGGCTTCTATCTCGCTTACCATTCTGCTGAGGCGATATGACATACGAGCATCCCCACAGGCTAGGACTTTCATCTCCGAATTATACTGGAAGCTGGGAGAAAGGTTAGTGCTTCAAAAATGCCTTGTGCTTTGTGATTAAGAAGTGTGAATAGGGAAGCAGTTTTCAGCTGCTTCCCTGTACTTGGGAGCCTTTTTTAATAAAAAATCTATTTAAGGGATTCTTGAAGATATTCACAGTATCATCAGAGTTGAGACATGATTTTCTTTATTCAGAAACCCTTAGTAAGTCAACCACCTCTATCACCCTGTAGAGGATGTGCTTACTTCGGATTTATTTCTGCAAGTGCTGGATGCTTGTTGCTGTTCCAGACCCTGTAGTTGTGAGTGTTCTTCCAGGCTGTAACAAAGGTCGTCCCATAGTCCGATAAGATCTTTTCGTTATCTGTCAAGTAAATATTTGAAAGTTGGGCTGGACTGTAGCCAGTCAGGGTTATAAAGATTAATAACCAATAACAGTAAAGAAATAGCTTTAGCCTCCCTGTCCACTGCTGCTTTCTTGGGGAGAAAGCCTACCAGATGTCAGGAAACTTGGGTCAAGTTCCAAAACCCTAGTAAGAAGCTATGTGGCCTTTGCTAAGTCACTTGATCACTTGGAATTTCATTTTTCTTACTAGAAAATAAGGGGCTTGAGCCAAATATTTTCTAAGGTTCCTAAAATCTTCAAAATATTTCCATGTTCTCCTCACCAAGGTAAGGAGGCATAGTACTATTTATTAAAAACTACAGACTAGAGTGGGTTAAACATACTGGCATATATATATGGAGTAGGCAATTAGGGTATTTTTTTAAAAATCTTTTCACAAATACCATTTTCTAAGAAAGGAAATTAGAAAGAATAATTGGTTCTTTTTAGCCATTCTTTTTTCTTTTTTTTTTCATTCTTTTTTCTTTATCTTACTATTCGGTGAAACTCACTCTTGAGTGTCCAAGCATTTCACGGTCAAAATACTTAATAAGGGGATTTGCATATATTTAATGCATAAAACTTTGTGGCTTCATCTCTATCAAGAGGAAGCTTCAATCCACAGTGCTTCTGCTACTTGGAAGAGCAGAAAAGGTTAGGATAACTGATTCAAATGGCTATTGCTTCATATATTAATTCCAAGTTGCTTGCTTTGAAGGTGAAACACATGACTTTCGTTGCTGGGAGAGGAAGAGAAGAACATTCATGGTTCTATACGCACCATAAGGAAGTGCTTTTAAGAATATATTCATCAATCAGCTCACTGGGCTAAATTTCCTTTAAAAGCTTGGGTGTGAACCAGACTAATTGGGTTGAAGTCCAGCTCAGTCTCCTACCAGGAGGAAGAGCAAGTTATTTAACCTCTCTGTGCCTCACTTTCTCAAGTCTGTAAAATGAGGATGACATGGTATTTACCTCTAAGATTGTTGGGACGATAAAATGAGTTAGTAGATGTCAAGTGCTCAAAAAAAAAAAACAAGGGTGGGTCTCCACACATGTTAAATGTTCCCTCTGAAAGTACGTAGCTACTGTGTACTCAGGAAAACATTTTTAAGAAGCAAATTAGTTAACTCAGGAACATACATGACTGGTGAAGACTTGGGTTTTCTTACTAGATAAACTGAGTGATTCTGGGTTAGAGGATTTAATTTGGGGATCTCAGTTGCTACAATTGTAGAAGAGGCAGACATTTAAAAAAAAAACAACCCATTAACAAATAAGGAGTCACTCCATAGATTTCTTAATGAAGAACATGCCTGAAGCCTGGATTTAAAACTCTACATATACTATTGGAAGAACTAAATCTAGGAGGTGGCAGCAGCAGGGTTGATTTAAACATCTACTGACACCACAACATGAAGGGACTTAATGACACTAATAAATGGTTAAGATGGCAAATTTTATATGGATTTCACCACAATTTTTAAAAAAGCAACCTGGAAACAGTTGGAGAGATCACTGAGGAGGAGGAAAAACAGAAGTTCTATATGCTTTTAACAACCTCACCACCATCACTACCAAATCTACTGATTTGCTAATGTGCAGGGTGGCAGGTATCCCAGGTGTGAAAGCTCACTGCAGAGCTTCATTTTTTCTTTGAATATATTCGTTTCTATGGGGAATGAGAATTTTAACACAGGAGTGATTCTATGTTTGCCTGATCCATTTTAACCATTTAATAGGGATAGAATGGATAAATTTGAAGGTTTAATCACTCAGAATGTGATCTCCAATGATTTGTTTTTTAAAATATTTTTTCCATCCCTCATATATCTTAAAAACATGTAAGCAGTGTTTATAAATAGCACTCAACTACTGATATATCCTTCCATATGGTGGAATATTAAGTCATGTAAAAAGTGATGAAGATCTGCATTTACTCTCCTGATACATGTTTATGTTATAAAGAAAAACTAAGCTATAAAAAACATGAAAAATGGGATCCATGTTTGCAAAAGGACTACCATGAACACTACAAAACTAAAATCCAAAACATGCATAGAAAAAGGTCTGTGTGTGTTAGTCGCTCAGTCGTGTCTGACTCTTTGCAACCCTGTAGATTATAGCCCACCAGGCTCCTCTGTCCATAGGATTCTCCAGGCAAGAGTACTGGAGTGGGCTGCCATTTCCTTCTTTTTCTCTAGACCTTTGGAGAAAAAGGTCTAGAAGGATATGAATTACTCAAATTGTGAAGAGTAGTTAATTCTATATGTGTGGAGTGACAGGTAATTTTTTTGATCACTTTATTTCTTATGCAATTCAAAGCATCCAGAATTACAAAATGAGAAAGTGACTGTGAACTCCTTACCAAGCTGCAGTGTGGCGGCCAACAGTGCGTGGATATAGACTGCAAACTGGGCTCGGATCCACTCGTCACCTCCCTCCCAGCCCGTGCCGTCCAGGAAGACATCATCCCGGTTCTCAGTCACATGCCTCACTAGGTAATCTGCGAACCTTAGGTCTGCAGTGGTTGGGTTGAGCAGCTTCCTGAGTTCTGGATCATGGATCTGGATCAGAGCTTCTTCTACCTAGAAGGTACCCAGGTACAAGTCAGAGTCTGGGCAGACATCCATACCACACTTTAAAGAGTAATTACTGGGAAGTTGGAGCTGGAAATAAAAAATATGAATAATAGCTTTCTCAAAAGATGAGCCTAAGAAAGAGACAGAGTTTTTATTCTTAAGTTGTTTCTTATTTTTCATTATTTAAAAAATGCTCAGTTTTTGTTCTTACATGCATAAATACTTAAGTTTGAATTATAAAAGTGATTCATGTTGACAAATATTTTGGAAAATATAGAAATGTACAGTAAAAATCACCGTTATCATACAGAAATGAATACAATTAATTAAATACAATTACTAAAAATTTTTGCTTTGACTGCACAGATACTTTGGGATATATTTATTATGTAATACTTGACAGAAAGAACTATATGTAACTTACAGTTAGTTTTAAAGTATAATAATAAATACCCATCAGCTTAACGAACTTCAGAGCTAGAATGTAACAATGTTTAATAAAACTCTGAAGTCCTTTCATCTATATCCTTCTGTCTTGGAAGGTATAATATATGTATTTTTCTCCCTCAATATTGGAATCCATATAGCTTTGAATCCCAGATTTTTAATTTATTGTATTATAAACATTTCCCCAGGAAGCACATTCTGGTACTTTCTGTTAGGAACTACAGAAACCTTAGTGTGGCTGAAATCCCCCCCACCCATTTGTAAAAATAATTTTAATTGTAAAAGTTAACAAATTATTTATACTACTTCTATATTAATAAGATATCAAATGTTTATCTCTAGCTCCTTCTGCTTGATATTGGGGCATATTAAACTATTTAAATAATAAACACACTTTTATTGTGAGACTATTAAGACTAGATAGCCTCGGTAGGAATCCTGGCTCATCCGCTTAGCAGCTGTCTGATCCCCTCTGTTCCTTAGCTTCTGCAGGTGTGATACGGACACTAACAATGCCTATCTCACAGGTTGTTATGAAAATTAGATAAGTTCATATACCTAAGGTGCTTAGGATGCCTGGCAAAGGAAGCAATTATGACCACTATCAGTGTTATTACTATGCCCCAAATTTCATTTAAAAAAGAAAACAGGGACCAGCAGTCAAGGACTTGCACTTAGACATCAACTTACTTCCACAATGGCATCACTGAGGTGCTTCTGTTGTCTAAAAAGGATGTTAGTAGCTCCAGCAACAAATCCTCGAATGGTGACATCAGAGAGAAGATGATGCTGCTGCAGTGCCATATAAGGCAAACACAGATATCCCTATGAATTACAAGAGAAGAAAATGTTAGAAAAGTAATGGAACAGCCATGTCTCTCGTAACGGCTGGTGTTTTGGTGGTTTAGTCACTAAATTGTGTCCAACTCTTTGTGACCCCATGGACTGGGCCATGGTAGCCCACAAGGCTCCTCTGTCCATGGGATTTTCCAGGCTAGAATACTAGAACAGGTTGCCATTTCCTTTTCCAGGGGATTTCCCCCACTCAGGGATGGAATCTGGGTCTCCTGTATTGCAGGTGGATTCTTTACTAACTAAACCACCAGGGAAGCCCCTCATCAAGCCTAGACAGCTAATAGTAGGAAAGGAAACTCCCAATCTTCACCCAACCCCATGCTATTCCTAACACAGCTGATCTTTGACTCAACACAATAATATACCAATAATAACAACCACAGGTCCTGACTGTATTAAGGCCAGTTAATTGCTAACCTGCTCCATGAATGGTCAAATCTTGGCAAGGTGGTCTAATATGAAGGTTGTCTTGAGTGACCACTAGGCTTTCAGTTCAACTTAAAAGCTTCCACTGTAACTAACAAGCTAGGGTTTTGTGGTTTTTTTTTTTTTTTTCATTTAGGAATGAAGTACTAATATTAAGCCCACTAAAAAGCATGCTGTTTAGTAGAAAGCTGTTCCTTCTTCCAGTAAAATTTTAAAACACAGGCATTTGCACATAACCACCAAAGTACTCTTGTAAGAATAGCAAAGCACTGCATAGCAATTATTTTACTGTCTTATAATTTAAAATGATACAGTATTTCAAGATATTTGCTACTAAATGTTCAAAGCAAAAATGACCATGCCAGTAGTTGTGTATTTGAAATTTCCAGTTGAATTGCATTTGAAAATACCATTGCCCTGAAAATTATATTTTAACTGCCAAACCACAGCAGGGAGTTAAGTGTACAAAAGAAGTCTATATCCTGAGGAAAAAGGAATGCTAACACTGGAATGATGCACTGAAGGAGGAAATGGAATTTTTGCTGAAAGATTCTAAATCAAGATAGATCTCAACAAGTGGCATAATTTGTGTATAAAGCCAGGAGGGAGGACTTGCTGAACTCCTGAATTTGTTTTCAATTAAGTTAGATGACAGTTTTATTTATTTTTTTAATCATCTTTAAAAAAATAAAACAAAACAAAACACTGAACCACAGTTATCCAGATAATGTCTTGTTTCCATCATGAGAATTTCTCTGAGGGAAGGAGACACCACTTCTGCTGCTTCATGTCCTTCCCTATGTCTAGGATGTACCATACAGCCAGCTATTAGGAGAAGACATGAGAGAAGACTTGCAGAAGTTGGAATACATGTCTGGTAAACTGGTTTTATTCTCCTTCTTGACAAAGTTTTCCTCTCCTCTATAAAATGTGAACTAGTAGAAGCAGCAAAAATAAACCCATGTTTATGCATTACACATATTCACTATATAGTGTTTCTCAACCCACGCCCTCTTGTGACTAAAGGTGGAAAGGATCCATGCTCCTCATGCCAAATCACTCAAACAGCTGGTAGACTCAAGGGTCACACTTTACCTTGTGTGCTATGTATTAAAAATGTGTTTCTTGTTTCTGAACATAAATACCGCAATGCTGAATGCTCTTTCAAACTTTATATGGACTCCCCCGAATACTCCTACTCCCCCAGCCAGGACTGAGAATCCTTGATAAGGGCACTTTCAGAACTACCTATATTTACAAAGATTGATTCAATTGCTCATAGTACTGCATTTCACAACTGATTCTGTTAAAGGAGAAAAGTCTGTTGTCAGCAGTGGAATTCTTGGCTAAGTCGCATGAAAACTAGGAATGTGGTTTTTTTTTTTAAAGTCAATAGTTCAAAGTTTTGTTTTTTTTTTTTTAAATGAAGAAATACAGTCCTTAAAATATTACACATAGCCATATTCTTTGACTCAGTATTTTACTTCTTACAATTTATCCCACAGATACACCTGTTCATATGTGAGATTTGTAAAAAGTTACTTATTGCAGCATTACTTATCATTGCAAAAGACAGGAATCCTAACTCTTCATGACTAGGGCAATGAACAAATGTTCTTCTATATGATGGAGTACCCTGCAGTACGTGATGAAGTTCATCTCCACGGAATATTTTGTTTAAAAAAAAAAAAGACATAGATTAGGTAAGGTTGGTTGCCAATGGAGAGGGGAACAAATTTCCTGCTATTCTCTGAGTAGCAGGGAATGGAATGAGAGAGATTTTTTATTATTATAGATGCTTTGGAACCTTCTGAATATTGAACCATGTGAAAGCATTGCAGATTTATAAAATTATTTTAAACAGTAGTTCAAAATAACCTTAAAATTTTAGCATCATCACTTTTACTGATGGTCAATCTAGCCTAAATCTTTTAAAGGTCTTCAATGTACAGTGGCAGCAAGAGTCTGAGTACATTAAAATACAGCAGCCTCTACACCCAAACACACCACCACTTTCCACTTTTCTAGGGTGTTTAACTTCTATATTTGAGCTGAGGTAAATAATGGCCAAAAAAAAGAAACTGAAGAGATATTTGCACACCTATGTTCACAGCAGCACTACTTACAATAGCCAAAATGTAGAAGCAACCCAAGTGCCCACTGATGGATAAATGGATAAGGAAAATATGGTATATACATACAATGGAATATGATTCAGCCTTAAGAAGGAAGGAAATTCTGTCATACGCTACAACATGGATGAACCTTGAGGATATTATGTTAAGTGAAATAGGCCAGTCACAAAAAGATAAATGCTGTATGATTCCACTTATGTAAGTATTTAGAAGTAGTTAAGTTCATAGAAACAATGATGGGTGCCAAGGGTTGGGGTGAGGGGAGAATGGGAAACTGTGGTTTAAAGAATACAGACTTTCAGTTTTGCATGATGAGAAAGTTCTAGAGATCTGTAGTACAACCATGAGAATACACTTAAAATCACATAATTGTGCACTTAAAAATGGTAAAGCAGATAAATCTTATATTTGCTTTTTGATCACGATTAAAACTAAGAAACAGATGGCATTAAAAAACACAACTCAGCTTGGCAAATCTGGAAGACCTGTTGTGAGCTGATCTGTTATAGCACTTCAAAAGCATACTGCCTTCTCCATTGTGACCTGGGAAGGGCTACCATGTCATTAGGACCAACTGCCACTTTCTTATCTCTCAGGTCTGAGATGATAAGCATGTTTGTGAACCGCAAGCCTCCTTGCTGTAGGGATGTCAGTTTTCTCCAAATTCTATCTAGCACTTAAAGGTAACCCCTATTTAAATCTTAAGTAAGAACCTAAGTTGATCCTGAAATTGATGTGGAAATGCAAAGGGCTAAGAAACTCTTGAAGAACAATAGCAAGAGGAGAAGCCTTTTCTCTGCCTGACACGACATAATGGTAATTAACACAGTGCGGGACTGACCCAAGGATAGACAGATACATGGATGAAGCAGCAACGAAGCACAGAGACAGACACCCTTCCTCAACATACACAGAAATGAATGCCAGGCAGACAAAACCCAAAATGTGGAAGTCAAAACTACAAAGCCTGCAGTCTCACAAATCATGACAACGAGGGAGACAATCTGGAAGGTTTGAACAATTACCACACAAAAGGAAATTCAAAAGGTTACCAAGAATATGAAAAGATGGTTAGCCTCAACAGTGACTACTGAAAAAAGGACAAATTAAGAGCCATGAGATACCATCAGACTGGCTAAATATTAGGAGGTTTGACAATAACAACCATTGGTGAGAATGTGAATCAAAGGGAACTCTAATACACTGCTGTGGGAATAGGAATTGTCACAACCACTTTAGAAAACAGTTTGGAATTATTTTAGTAAAGCTAATCTACCCATTCCTTATAATCCAGTATTCCCATTTCTAAGCACTGACTCCTAAAGAAATGCTTGCACGTATACAGCCAAGATTACTGAATAAGAATTTACTAGAAGTGTTATTTGTAGTAACCAGAAACTAGAAACAATGTAGATATCCATCCACAGAATTTATATATTGCAGAATAGCCAAAACCAGAAAACTACAGAGGAATAATAAAACACAACTTCATGCAAAATTATGATGAAACTAAAAATAATCTTGAGAGAAGAGGGGGAAAAATTTTAGTGCCACTTAAATAAAACTCAATAACATGCATCTACTACTTTTTAACTAGTTGTCAAGTTATTTGTAGGTTCCCTAAATTTGAATATGACACCCTGTAAGCAAGCAAACCAGATATAAACTCAGAAGCAATATATAAAGAAGTTTAATACATGAAGCAGAAAAAATTTTGGTTTCCAACTACATTTACTATTAATTCTTTCATAAGTTTATTGTTTTACTAAAACAGTTACAGACTGAAATAAGAGAATTCTAAATTAAGTGATCTTCTGGTGGAGGCAATTATTACTACATTTTAAAAAGTACCAGATACATATAATTTAAAAAACTAAGAAGTAGGTGTTTATCTTCTTTTAAAAGTTAAAAACGTCACTTTGAAAAAAAAAATTTTTTTTTAGTGAATACCTAAAATCACCGATAGATATCTATGAATACATGGGTACAGTTTCTAAATTTTCATCTTTCTCCTTTGGTTCCCTCATTGCCCTCCCCTCATCCCATGGAATCCTATCCTAAAGTTGCCACTAGTCCCATCTCCTCTCCCTCAGCAACCTAGTTTCTTCCTTACCTCCCTAATTCAGCTCTCAGGAAAAGTTCAAGCATATTTGAGAGTCTGGTATCTACAGTGTTTATGTAATAAGCCTCATCTCTAAGACTGAGAAGAAATGCACCATCAATTTCAAGTCCCAGAGAGAAGACTGGAAATATGGAGTTTTGGAATCTCTCCAAGCATAACTTTCATATGCTAACACAGTCAGTGGTCCAGTCAACTCATTATTCTCTTCAAAGCTTGCTATCTTACTTCAGCAATACTCTGAGGGCATCCAAGCTTCTCTTTGGCTACATTTGAAATGACTTTTCAGAATGCTTTGCTAATCGAGGTCTTCTCTATAAGTATTTTTAAAATCTTCAAGAGAAGGAAAAAAGAAAAGCGTAAAGGCAACTCATTTTTAAGTATATTTCATATTCCAAAGCTGCTGACATCAAAGAATCAGCAATTGTATTTGAAACTGTGATTTAAAAAGTTAGATTTGAATCATTACATAATAAAACAGAAAACCTAAAAGGAAAATGTTTAATTTACCATAATGATGGTGGTAAGCCCATCATATACTCAGTACTGGTATAACATACACAAAGAGAATATTCTGCCAAACAGTTTATTAACAGCACATACAACACACTAACATTGCTTTGTTTAATTCAGCGACCTCGCAGACAAAACCAAAATCCCCCACCCGAGTTAATCTCCCTCCTGGTATCTCTACAATGATAAAAATTAGAGTGGGTGGGTGAAGCCCCAAAAGGGCTCCAAAAGTATAGGCGGTCATGACACCCACATGTGAGTTCAGAAAACCCACAATTTGTGGCTGTTGAGTATACTTAGTAGTCTGAGGGCCCAGAGTTTTCTCCCCAGGCTCCTAAACTCCAGTTATAAGCAAATATGCATTAGTTCAATCAAGAAACCAATTAAGATAATTTCAGCATCCCCTAACAGACCACAAAATGAACAAACACAGCATTTTCTGCTAACTATTCAGCAATACTGACTTGGGGCAAGTACTTATTTGTAAAACTGGATAAACCCAGAAAGAATTTATCACATAGTGGAGAAGAATTGATGGCAAGTCAATGCTATCCATTTTCTTTCCAATATAAAGTTTTACTTCTAGCATAAAGGAAGGTATTTAGAGAAAAACATAAGCTTTGTTCTAGTTACTGGACATATGTATCTGTCTTTCATGGTTAAACTGAAAAGCCATGGATACAAGAATTTAGAACCTAGTACAGGGCCTGGCACGTAGGAAGGTAATAAATACTTTGACTGAAAAATGAAATGGGACTTTTCATCTTATTCATAAAAAAAATAATTCATGAATGACAATAAAGTAGCTTCTCCTGTTAGGATTAAAAAAAAAAACCCTCAAATGTAGCTTCTAGAATTCTAATATAGTATTACTGACATAAAGAAATGATATCCTAGAAATAAGATACCGAATCAAAGATGCAATTTGTTTTACTATGGTGTGTTTAAATTATTTTAAAAAATTAGAAATGTTTTGTATGTTTTTCCATAAAAAGATTAAAGATTAATTTTTAAGGCCAGTTAACCAAAACAGTGTATTATATCTATGAAGGGTACTAATATTTAAGTTAGCCATCTAAGCTTTTTATTCTTTCTTATAAAATTGCAGCTTTTGGAATTATGGTATTTTAATATACACTCATTAAATGTAATCAAGGCTGGTTTGCTTTTTTCCCCTGAAGGTAAACCTGACTAATGAAAAACACACCAAACACAGTGATTGCTGACCTCAGTTTCCAAACTCTAATCAAAATCCCCTGCAGTCTTACATCATGGTCACCGATATCATAGTACTACACATCTGCTATGTTATTTTACAGTTTTCAATGAGAATTTGCAGACTTAAATGTGTTCAACACTGAGAGTTAAATTCTGAAAGGATTTTGTGCTATCCGTATGGGCATTAATAAAGGACATTAACTCTTACCTTTGTGAAGATGGCCAGGGGCATGCCATACTGGTCCTCCTCCAAGCCAGAAATCAGCCCTGGTATCAGGACCACCTGGCCGGTATTAGCTTGAGGTTGAACAGTAATCGGAGGACTATCTGAGGGCAAAGAGTCCTTTGGAAATGAGTTTGTCTGTTCTGACCCCACCTGTTCTCGTTCCTTCAAGGAGGAGTCCTCTAAGACACTAGGGTCTAAGGTCTCCCAGTCACTTTCTGAAGACTCTGGAGATGGGCGAGAAGGAGGTTTCAGATACTGATTGCTATCACTGGCTTCTTGTTCACCGCTATCATCTTCTACCCGGAACAAAGGTTCTTCAGTCTTGATGGCTGCATCTCCTCCATGGTTTCCTAGGATTTTCTTGACAGTGCCTAAGCTGGTATTTGAAATGTCAGAAGCAGGCATACAAACAAATTCATCTGCAGGGGGATTACTTTCCTGAAGCCCAGCATCTTCAGACATACTCTTTCGGGGTCTGTACTGAGAACTGTCACTGAGTCCATGTTCAATCATGCCTAAAACACAATATTGGAGAACAGTTTGGCTTACAATAAGATATTAGAAGATAACAGCTGTGTGCTGCTGCTACTGCTGCTAAGTCGCTTCAGTCGTGTCTGACTCTGTGCGACCCCACAGACGGCAGCCCCCCAGGCTCCTCCATCCATGGGATTTTCCAGGCAAGAGTACTGGAGTGGGTTGCCATTGCCTTCTCCGAAGAGCTGTGTATTCTGCTTTAAATAGTGGACCTCCTATAAAAAATTTTAATGAGCTATGCTCGCTCAAATTTTAATTGAAAACAAGAAAATCTCAGACAAAAGAGAAATCTATTGCCAAAGTGAAAATATCCTATTAAAACAGACAGTAACCCTAACCACTTTGTCCTTGAAAAGTTTTATCATTCAAAGGTCCAGTAAGAGAGTGGAAACTGCTACCCTCTTACCTGGAAAAAGGGATAACACAGTCATCAGGGCACCCACCAATTTATTCACTGGAGAAATATAAAAGAGAACCTGAAATGGAGTCAATCAAAATTAAATTAGAAAGTCCACGAGTCCACAATGACACTTTTAAAAAAAGAAAAAATTAAAGAAGCAAAGAAGAGAGAGAAGAAAACTCTTCTTTATGGAAGTATAACAGCTAATAAATACAGAATTTATGACAGAATCAGAAAATCATGGTTCAAGTAAAAATTACCAACGCATGCTGAAACTATTGTGCAAGGCTCTTGGGCAACAGGATATTCACATTAGCTTCAAATTTATCATCCCACAGTTCACCTATTAATTGCAAAGGAAAATAACAAGTACTAATATGAAGAAACCTGGCAATCACCACCTTAGTCAAATGATCAAACTTTGTATCACCAATAAGAGAACAAGCAGTTTATGGGCCTCCAAATATGATGCCCCAGAAAGACACATCACTACCTATACAATATTCTTGCCAAAAAATGAAATGAGCCAAAGGAAAATAATCATATGAATCTAATATTAAAATGCAACTAATCTGGATTATTAAAAAAAAAAAATCCATGTCATAAAAACAGAGAAACAAAACAAGAAGCGAGGTGGTAAAACTGTTTGAGATTAAAGAGAGCTAACAATGCAATACATGATCCATGGTCCTCAGATTAAGAAAAGCAAACAGTTTATAGCACATTATGATGCTACCTGGGGAAATCTGAAAAGGCACTGTACATTAGATATCATTTATTATCTCAATGTTAAATTTCTTGAATATGAAAATACTCTTGTTATGTAGGAATATACCCTATTCTTTTTTTAAACATTTTATTTATTCATTTTTGGCTGTGCTGGGTCTTCATTGCTGTGTGGGCTTTTTCTTTAGTTGCAGAGTTGGAGCTCCTCTCCAGTTGTGGTGTGACAGCTTCTCACTGTGGTGGCGTCTCTTGTGGAGCATGGACTCCAGGGCACACAGGCTTAGCTGTTCCACAGCATGTGGGACATTCCTGGATCAGGGATTGAACCCATGTCTTCTACATTGGCAGGTCGATTCTTTATCACTGAGCCACCACGGAAGCCCCAGGAATATACCTTTATTCTTAAGAAATATATCTGAAAATGTTTAGGAATGAAGTACTGTGGTTCTACAAATTAGTTGAAAATTATGATGATTTGGGGGAAGAATGAACATACATAAAACAATGGAATGCAAAAGTGGCAAAATGCTAACAACTCACAAATACAGATGAAGGATGTAAAGTATCCATTATAAAATTATTCTATCAACTTTCTTGTGGGGTTTTCAGAATAAAAATTGAGGGACAGGGTTCAGTTAGATATGGAACTAAAACTAACACTGTAGTGAAATTCACTCAGTCGTGTCCAACTCTTATGACCCCATGGACTGGAGCCTGTCAGGCTCCTCTATTCATGGGATTCTCCAGGCAAGAATACTGGAGTGGGTTGCCATTTCCTTCTCCAGGGGATCTTCCTGACCCAGGAATCGAACCCATGTCTCCTGAATTGCAGGCAGGTTCTTTACCAACTGAGCTATGAGGAACACTAGTGATAATTAAATTAGATGAAAAAACAAGCATATAGTTGCTGAGATGAGTTTTTTTCTTTGCTTTAACAATTAAATCATTTAGTAGCACTAAGTCATATCTAATAAAGCATGATGCATCCTTAAACAGTGATGCTTTAGGGAGTAGTGTGTAAATACTACAGAGACACCAAGACTTACATTAAAGGACATCTTTATCAAGTGAATGTAAAAAGGGTATACCTATGATTTGCCATGTTAAATAAAGTCTAGTTGATCATAAATGCCATTGCATGTGGCTAGACTATTATTTTGCAAAAATTTTTTTCAGATATATATAACCATGTGCACTGTGTTGAAAAACATTTTTTTTTAAATTATAAGTTGCAATAAAAATTTGAACCTTACAACTAAACAAAAAACCAAACCTGATTAAAAATGGGTATAGGATTAGGGAAGACATTTCTCCAAGAAAGACATACAAGTGGCCAACAAAAACATGAAAAGGTGCTCACATAACTAATTATTAAGAAAATGCAAATCAAAACCAGGAGATACTACCGTATACCTATTAGGATGGCTACTATCAAAAAACAAGCAAATAACAAATGCTGGATAGAATGTGGATAAACTGGAACCCTTGTGCACTGTTGGTAGGAATGTAAAATGGTGCTGCCACTATGGGAAATACATCAGTTCCTCAAAAGATTAAAAACAGAACTACCATGTGATTCAGAGATGTCACTTCTACGTATATACTCCAAAAAACTGAAACCAAGGTCTTTGAAGACATTTACACAGACCCATGTTCACAGCAGTTTTATTCACGAGAGCCAAAAGGTGGAAGCAATCCAAGTGTCCATCAATGAATGAAGGGATAAAAAAATGTCATATGTACATACAATGGAATATTATTCATCATCAAAAAGGAAGGAAATTTTGACATCTGTTGTACACGGATGAACCTTGAGGCCACTGTGCTAAATGAAATAAGCCAAACACATATGATTTCACTTGTGAGAAACCTAGAATAGTCCAATTTATAGAGACAGAAAGTAGAAGGGTGGTCGCCAGTGGTGGGAGAAGGGGTGAAAGTGGAGTTATTGTTTAATGGGTAGAGTTTCGGTTTTACACAATGAAGAGTTCTGAGGACAGATGGTGATACCACAGCAACGTGAACATACTTAATGCTAAGAAACTGCACACTTAAAAATGGCTAAGATGGTTAATTATACGTTATGTGTATTTTATAACTAAGCTTTTTTTAAAGGTTGAAATATTGCACTAGTACATGTTTCATTCTTTTTTTAAAATTTACTTTCCTGTTTGAAGAAAGAATACATATTCATTTAGAAAACCAGAATACAGAAAAGTATTTCCTTCTTAAAAATATACATGGTCACCAAACTGTTGCTGTCTTTCCTTCCAATCTCTTTTCAATGAATAAATACAATCTATTCATAAAATCAGAATCCTGGGCTTGATATGTAGTTGGATCATCATTTTTCACTTAACATGCTATGAAACATCTTTAAGACAATAAAACCACTCAGAATCTTTTTTGTTGTTTGGATACACAAGATAAATCAAAACAAGTTATTCATTGATAATTTATTATTAAAAACGATTCTGTGAAAGAATCTCTTAGAGCTCTGTGTCAGCTCAGGTAAATTCTGGAAAACAAATCTCTTAAGAGGACAATTACTGGGCCAAATGGATAAACATTTTTATGATAATTAATTATACTGGACATTGTGAATGGCTGACCCTCCAACATCCATTCCATCTCTACTGAGCACAGTAATACTGACCACAGATCCAGGGATGGCTCCTGACTCGTCTAAACCAGAGGTCAGCAAACTTTCTATAGAGGGTGAGATAGTAAGCATTTTTCATTTGTGGGCGATTTGGTCTCGGTTCCAACTACTTAACTCTCCCACTGTAGTTCAAAAGCAGCCATAAACAATAAGCTGAAGAATGGCTGAAACTGTGTTGCAATAAAACTTTAGTTAGAACAATAGGTGGTGGGCCAAATTTGGCCCTGGGGCTTAAGTGTGCAGACCCTGGTCTAAAATCCCTTATAATTTTTTATTTAAAATCATGGCAATCCCATCCCTTTGTACCAGAGTGCACATCTGGAACCAGGCTTAAGACAATCAATACAGACTTTTCTTCAGCAACAATTATTGGTTCTGGGTAGGCATATGGTCTCACAGGCCCAAATGAATTAAAGGGAAGAATTCTCATTAAATGATTAGGGAAAAGATATTACCTCGGTCACTAGCATATAGCTGAGGCAGCATATAGCTCAACTATTGTTGGCAGTAATCCTATACTACAAGGGAAATCAGGCTTAAGATAAAGCTAGCACGTGGACTGTAGAGCAAAGAGATGAAAAAAATCTAGGTACTTAATTATATTATCAAACTATTCAGTCAACATACTCTCGAGTCTGAAGCAAGGCAATACATTTTTTAAGTCAATTTAGACTGAGTTTTGGGGACTTCCCTGGTGGTCCAGGGGAAGACTCTGGACTTCTACTGCAGAGGGTGCAGGTTCCATTTTTGGTCAGGTCACTAAGATTCCATGTGTCAACACAGCACAGTCACATACACATACATACATAGAGTTCTCTATTACCGACATAGTCAAAACCACCTTGATAACTGAATACTATCAAACTGCCCCAGAAAACACTGCACGAATTCACACTTCTATAGTGTAAAAAAGAATATGTACTTTAGCTCACTGCAATTTGATAGCCAAAAAAGTCTTAATTTATACTTTAGTTTTAAGAAATGTCAATAAATGTAAAATATTCCATCCATCAAATCTCACCTTTTTTTCCAGAAGAATTAGCTTAAATAGGATTAGAACCTGAAGAAAGAAAAAAAAAATATTGTATTAAAATAAGAAATCCAAGCCTATTATTCATTTGCCTTTGTCCCCCCTCAAACATAACCATGTAACATTGAGTCAATAATATTAAATAATTCTAGTGCTTTAAAAATAATTGAAAATTACAAACTTATACTGAGAAATTAAGTATTTGAATTCTCTAAAAAATGTGAGTACCCCTTATATCATTATCAAATTGGACTTTTGGGAGGAAGTTGTGCCATTTTTTGTTTGAAATATCTGCAAGCCCCTTAAAGGGAAGGTACTATTCATTACTTCTGTTTGTCCAGGGCACTCACAGAGCAGACAGATACTCACTATACGTGTTAAGGGAACAATCAATGTGTGTATGCCCCAGTCAAAAGACGTTCAGTATAGAGATTTTGCTGGAAAATGTTTCACTCTCAGGGCAACATGCAAAATAGTCTACAAGATAAATGAAGACATATTTCTTTCAGATGTGGTATACACACACACATGCACACACACACATATACACACAATGGGTTACTACTCAGCCATAAGAAAGAAACAACGCCATTTGGAGCAATAGGGATGGACCTGGAGATTATCATACTAAATGAAGTAAGTCAGAGGGAAAAAGACAAAGCCATATGATATCACTTACATGTGGAATCTAAAATACAATGTAAATAAACTTATCCATGAAACAGACTCACAGGCTTACAGAACAGATTTGTGGTTACCAAGTGTGTGTGTGGGGGGTTTGTTGGAGAGGAGTGAACTGGGAATTTGAGAGTGGTAGATGCAAACTATTACATATAGAATGGATAAACAAAAAGGTCCGGCTGTATAGCATAGGGAACTATTCTCAACATCCTGTAATAAACCATAGTGAAGAAGAATAAAATAAAACAAAACATGTTTCTTTCCACTCTAATTTCATAATATCCAAAATATCAACAACTGTAGAAGAAAGTATCCTATCCTGCACTGAAATAAACAGACACTGTGTACTTTTAGAAATTTCTATTATATAAGCACTACCAACACTTTTAACTTTCTATCATTATGACAGCTGTCTCAGAAAAACTAAAACATGGTTATGCCATAATCTATATTAGACCATGCAGCTCATGAAAGCTGCCTAGTTAAATGAACATAATTTTAGTACATCATCAATTTAAATAAAGTATCATACCTTGTGTCGAAAATGAAGCACAAGATCCCGAGGAGATAAACCTATAATGTTAAAGAAAAGAAAAGAAAAGCTAATCTGTGACTACAACCTACTGTTTTTGTCAAGGGAAGTTTTAATGTCCTTAAAAAAGTTAGGTAAAAGTAGGACTATGCAAAATTTAAATATTTATGTAATATCTGATTATGTACACATACAAACAGAACTTCAATACTATCAGATAGAATGTCCTGCAATAATGGAAATCTTCTAAATCTACATTGTCCAATAGAGTAGACATAAGTGGCCAGTGAGTACTTGAAATACGGCAAATGACAAACTGATTTTTAAATTTAATTTCTATTAACTCTAATCTAAATGCAAACAGTTACTTGTGGCTAGAGGCTCATGTTGTGGCCGTGCAACTCTCACACCTTCTTCCCATTCTAAAGCCATCTTATAAATTGCACAAGTTTAGAAATCATGAAGCTTGTACTTCACAGTGGCACTCAATCATTTAAACAAGGTTTTTGGGCACTACACCCCATAGGTATTATTTCTGAATCACAGTCTTCTCTGATCGCCTGCCATAAGACAAGATAAATTAATTCAGAGAAAAATATATCCTCTGAAAAGGAGTTTTATAACCAACTCACATTACACATAGAACTGCAAAAGTGAACCTAGCACAGTTTGGCTACTTTACACTAAAATTCAAAGTGAGTGAGCATAAATTACTATGTGATCAAGACTTTTTAAAAAAAAATCATGAAAAGGACTTTTACTGAGTGCCTGACACACCAATGGATGTTCTTGGTTGTGAAAATAGCATAAACCCCCAACTTGAAAAATCTTAGAATAGAAAGACACTAATAAGCAGATTTCTCTCTCCCTTGCTTTCCCTCTGTGTTATGACAAGGAACTGACCTGATCAGCATTAACGTAAGGAAAAGAAAAAACTTCCATTATTATTCTGAAAAGCTGAAATATGCCTTATACAATAATACTTCTAAATTTCAGTTGGAGAATTTAGATACCATATAGAAATGTAACTCTGATCATGAAGTTTTACACGCAAGCAACATGCCAAACAAAAAGAACAGAGGGCATTTCTTCTGACTTGTAGAAAAAGCAACTTACCAAGATATACCTGGGATCCTTCTAATGAAGTTCCTCCCAGGGAACTATTCATATGTTCATAGAGCTCCTATAAAATAAGATTCAGTTTAGAACACTTTACCATCAGTTTAGACACTGAATCAGAAATAGGATGACCAGGGGAAAACTGCTGCTTTGAAGCAGTTTTGTCTCTTTGAAACTCTGCCAGTTTCCAGAACTCCTTCTTTCTTTACCTCTACATTTTAGAGCTTGATCCATTCCCATGGTGGTATGGATTCCTAGGAAAAATTCTCTCTACGTCCTTGCTAAATAACTGTCTCTCTCACTAGAATCCAGGAGAGATCCACGCTGTATACAATAATGGCAGCCTTGAGAAAAACATTATTCTTCAGTAAAATAGTCATGTAGTTTCTCTGTGCTTTTTGATATGGAAGTTAGGATCCAGAAGCCTGATATATAAACATACTGTGCAGGGTATTAAAGAGATAACAAATATAGAGAAGCAATGCCATAGCAAAAGGGCTACAATCCATTAACAGAAATATTTGTTATAATCAACTGTAGTCAGCATTTACTAAGTAGAAATTGTACCTTTTGGGCAGATCTTTGGCCCATTTTCAATGTTATTTTCAAAGAAGAATATCTTTCTTAAGTTAATAAATTATCTCTCACAATATTAAAGATCTACTTGATTCATGAATCTGTCTTCAAACACATCCATGGAGGATAAAAAGTTACCTTTAGAATGGAAATTTGGGAAAAATCCTTCTCTTCAAAATATGCATGTGTAATGAGTTGAAGTTTTGCTTGAAGTAAGCCATAGAGAGGCTTAAAGAAAAAGAGAAATTACCATTAGTTTGATAATAGTAAAAACAAAACAAAACGAACACCCCACAACTTTTTAACTTGAAAAGACCAGAAAGGAAAAAGTTACTGACAACTTTAGTATCTTATTATTCACAGTTGAATGTTGTTAAGTCACATGTTCTAGTTTCTGGGGTGCAGGTGCAAAGTAACCACCACTCAGAGCACTGGGTTGGGAGTGTGGGCACAGACTTCCTGCGTGTTGCTCTGGTCACTCAGTCACATAACTCTGGGCACTTAACCTCTCCACATCTGCTGCCTAATGGAAACACGTGCGTATGGAAGGATAATCTCATGGAGAGAGGAGCCTGGCGGGCTACAGTCCAAGGGGTCACACAGAGCTGGAAACGAGTGACTGACTAACACTTTCACATTCAAAAGCACTTATTAGACTATCTGGCTATAGAAAGCACTTAAATGTTAGCCACTAGTATCATAAAATTTATTTATTTATTTTTTCCCAATTATTTTTATTAGTTGGAGGCTAATTACTTCACAATATTGTAGTGGTATTCACCATACATTGACATGAATCAGTCATGGATTATACATATGTTCCCCAACCTGAACCCCCCTCCCACCTCCCTCCCCATCCTATCCCTCTGGGTCATCCCAGTGCACCAGCCCCAAGCATTTGTCTCATGCATCCAACCTGGGCTGGCAATCCATTTCACACTTGATAATATACATGTTTCGATGCTGTTCTCTCAGATCATCCCACCCTCGCCTTCTCCCATAGAGTCCAAAAGTCTGTTCTATACATCTGTGTCTCTTTTTCTGTCTTGCATATAGGGTTATTGTTACCATCTTTCTAAATTCCATATATATGCGTTAGTATAGCCATTAGTATCATAAAATTTAGAACATCATAATTCTTCACACTGTTCTGCTAGCTTGTGGTTACATTTAATCATCCTTGCAGCACTCAGTTCTTATATCTAGTTGGACACTCATGATTAAGTTCATTTTGCCTTTTCTGGCCTTCAACAGAGGCTTAAAATCTAAAAAAAAGCTACTGGTCTGTGTCCTTATTATATTCTATATAATATTCTTTTGTATATATGAACACAAAGTTACTCCTTAATTCTTACCTATTTAAAACCCTCTTCCTACCATTTCCATCCTTTTATGTTCTTTTCTTATGCTGGGAAAGATTGAAGGCAAAAGGAGAAGAGGGCGGCAGGGGATGAGATGGTTGGATAGCATCACTGACTCAATGGACATGAATTTGGGCAAACTCCAGGAGATAGTGAAGGACAGGGAGGCCTGGTGTGCTGCAGTCCATGAGGTGGCAAAGAGTCAGACATGACCTAGCGACTGAACAACAATAAAATGTTCTTTTCTAGATGTTTTCTGGTTTCTATGTCCTTTTCAGGATGCAGAAACTAATGTTGTATATATTCTCTAACTAGTTAAAACAAGTAATACTGGAATAGTTTTATCCCCAGTATCCCAGATAATGGGCTTTCCTGGTGGCTCAGCAGTAAAGAACACGCCTGACAATGCAGGAGATGCGGGTTCAATCCCTGTCAGGAAGATTCCCTGGAGGACATGGAAACCCGCTCCAGTATTCTTGCCTGGAAAATCCCACGGACAGAGGAGCCTGGTGGGCTACAGTCCCTGAGGCTGCACAACTTAGCGTTTAAAACAACAACAAAAGTCATTAAAAATCATTATGTTTCAATGTAAGATAGCAATCAGAAAAAAAACATATCTTGCACTTAATAAATTAAAAGTACTGATTGAGAATCTCAGAAGGTATTTATTGAATGAATAAATGTTAATCAGAGCACTCTGTGCTAGACTCTGGAAGGCAACAACAAAAATCCTGGTTAATATATCATTACTATCTAAACATATTTTTATATATAGGCCAAAAGGCACTATGAACCATCAGATGTTTCTGCATGAGCCAGCTCTCTCCATCTCCCTGCCTGTTTTATCTGTCCAATAAAACTGGATTTTCACCGCAACTTTATCATTAGCAGTTACATGTCTCTGAGAGACATTTTTTATCTGAGATGTACCTTTATTTGTGAAACAAGAACAGTAAGTACTTAGATCTCTCTTCTTATGAGGTTTAAAATGACAACTCTATCTAAAAAGTGCCAGCTATAGAATATTTGACATATAGGCATTTGATAAATGGCACCATTATGATTATTATTGTTCTTTGAAGAATGATCATTCAGGAAGCCTTTCAAAATGGTGTATTTGTCCAACATCCAGCACTCCTATACACTGGTCATCTGGTCCAGTCTAAAAAAAAAAATTCCCTGATATATATTTTTTCAGGTTACCCTTTAAGAAACTGGGTACAGGAATGAGATTAGCAATCCACCAATTTTCTGATATTAAAATCTTTTATAATCATTTCTTCTCTAGGAGACTATTCTTGACCTATGTGTAAAATTACTATCTTGGAAGAAATACCCTGATCCTTCAGATCCTATTATAAAGGTCCATGTTATTAAATTATTTTTTAAAATATTTATCTATTTATCCGTGCTGGGTCTTAGTTGTGGCCTATGGGATCTAGTTCGCAGACCAGGGATCAAACCCATAACCCCTGCAGTGGAAGCACAGACTCTTAACCACTGGACGGCCAGGGAAGTCCCTCTCCTCATTCCAATAATGCTTTATTCTCAAATAAAAAGCTGCCATGAGTGTTTGATATTAACAGGTTATTTGGTCTCTTACCAGCTTGCTTAGAACACAGACACTTTTTTGAACAGTCTCTCTGGTGATATCTGCTTGCCGTACTTTCAATGCCTATAACAAACAAATAGTCACTATTAGAAATTTTTCAAGGAAATATTTAAAAATCATTGTTTCAATATAAGATAGCAATCAGAAAAAAAAAAACTTGCACTTAATAAATTTAAAAGTACTTACTGAGAATCTCAGAAGATATTTATTGAATGAATAAATGTCAACCAGAGCACTCTGTTAGACTCTGGCAGGCAATGGGAATGTAACAGTGAGAGACCATCTCTGCTCTCAAGGAATTTACAGTCTGCTGGAGAATACTTTATGCATAAATTGCCACAACCATAATGCAAACCAGTCATCCTTGGTTCCAGTTTTAAAATGGATACCCGTTTCAGAGATTTTTTTGTTTCTGGTGAGAAGGGGACAGTTTAAGAGCTTGTTTCTCCAGAGATGGAAGAATCGTCAGCAGTTTTTTTATGCTGGTTATTCTCCACTGTTCAAAGTCTGTCCTGGCACACCTGTAGTCCAGTTCTGAGCCATAACTCAGGTCTTGGTGATTTTGAGGATGACTACATAAGATTTCTGCAGTTCTCTGCTAGGAAACAAGACTTGATCAACCCCAGGAAAGGCTGTGAGGGCAGTAAGAGCGACACTTCCCCTTCTCGTGTACTGCCTGACATCTCCTTGGATCTGTGTCTTCAACTGCCTAAGAAATGATGATCTGTTAAATTACAATGAGAGTAGGGCCTTTCTTCAATCCGCTTCTACCTCTTTACCTTCATTGGATTCATCCATTAGGTCTCACCTTTGTTCAAAGGGAATGAAAGGCTTTCTCCTAGACTCTAGGACCTCTGATATCTGGTTTATCTATCTAGTTATCAGATAAGGAGAGAACAACTTGGAGAAATGGGCAACCCTGATAGACTAAAGTAGGTCAGGCTCAGGAGGTAAGAGAGACAGGAGGTGTGGAGTGCCACTTTAAGGATATCTAGGCAGATCATGAGAACTGCTGTTAATAACAACAGCACTGGAGAAAAAATTTTACTAGTGATTATACAACTTACTGGAGAAGGGAATGGCTACCCATCCCAGTATTCTTGCTGGGAGAATTCCATGGACAGAGGAGCCTGGCAGCTATAGGCCGTGGGGTTGTAAAGAGTCGGATACAACTGAGTGACTAACACACACAATGTACAGGGGTAAAAGGTGGTGAAAGGAACAGATTTCCAAGAAAAGGCAGCAGCTCAATTCATTTCATCTAGTAATATCAATGTGCAAGGGTAACAGTATGTGAAGAAGTCAAATACAAATTCTCAGATTTCTTTATCTCTAAATTCAGTTATACATTTGAAGGGCTTCCCAGCTTTACAAGCTCAGCTGGTAAAGAATCTGTCTACAGCGCAGGAGACTCTGGTTCGATTCCCGGGTCAGGAAGTTCCCCTGGAGAAGGGATAGGCTACCCAGTCCAGGAGTCTTGGGCTTTCCCAGTAGCTCAGATTGTAAAGAATTCACCTGCAATGTGGGAGACCAGGGTTTGATCCCTGGGTTGAGAAGATCCCCTGGAGGAGGGTATGGCAACCCACTCCAGTATTCATGCCTGGAGAATCCCCATGGACAGAGGAGCCTGGCTGCCTATGTCCATGGGGTTGCAAAGAGTCAGACACGACTGAACAATTAAGCACAGCACAGCATTCACCTGAACCACAAATATTTTTTTACAATGTGTGTCCTCTGTTCTAGGCCCTGTGCGTGAAGGGTTATTTCATGTAGTTAACTAGCTTGTTTATGCTGGAATTTACTTATTACTTTCAAATGGTTCAGGGAAACACACACATACAAAGCAAATGTGGTAGAATATTAACGACAGCCGAATGTAGATGGTTGGGTATACAGGAATTTATTGTACCATTCTTTTAATTTATCTGTGTTTGAAACATTCATTATAAAAATTAAAAGAAAAATTTTTATGACTAAGTTAATTACCCACCTGAGGAAGCTTTTAAAACTTTGTGATTGCCTAGGATCAATTATCAGAGATTCTAATTCAGTCTGTAGAAGGAAAGGCCCAGCAATTATGCTTATAATTAAGAAGTCTCCAAGTAGTTTTGGTTAAAAACCATTGTTTCAGAGCAGTGGTTCATCGTCTGGCCTGCATATGAGAATCACCTGGGGAGCTTTTAATACTCCTGATGCCAGAACATTAACTCAGAATCTCTGGAGTGGGGAACCAGTCATCCCTACTTATCTAAAACTCTCCAGGTGATTACAATGTGCAGCTGAGAACTACTTCAAGCTTCCCAAGTGGTATGAGAGGTAAAGAATTTGCCTGCCAATGCAGGAGACCTGGGTTTGACCCCTGGGTTAGGAAGATGCCTTGGAGAAGGAAATGGCAACCCACTCCAGTATTCTTTTTTTTTAAATTAATTTATTTAATTGGAGGCTAATTACTTTACAATATTGTCCCACTCCCAATATTCTTGCCTGGAGAATTCCATGGACAGAGGAGCCTGGTTACAATCTGTGAGGTCACAAAGAGTCAGATTTGACTGACACATACCAGTACCACTACTTCAGAATACTAATGATTTCATTAAAGGAAAGCGATCTACTCAGAAAGGGTATCCCCACTGCAAAAAGAATGGTGGTGCTCAGAAACAAAGCCGGAAAGGGGAAGCTACCCATCTTGGTTTATTTTAATTTGTTAATCAGAGCTATTATACTAAGTTAGGCATTAGGAGGGCAGGTAAGTTCAAGAATGATCAAAATCTTAATGATAGGTAATTAAGACGACTTGTGAGTAGTTTGCAGCTACTGTCAGTACTTTCCACTACTTCTAGAAAGCTTCTAAAAAAAAGAAAAACACTCATTACCATTCCTTTTTTTTTAGTTTTCTTTTTTTTTCATTTATTTTTATTAGTTGGAGGCTAATTACTTCACAATATTGTAGTGGTTTTTGCCATACATTGACATGAATCAGCCATGGATTTACATGTGTTCCCCATCCCGATCCCCTCTCCCACCTCCCTCTCCATCCCATCCCTCTGGGTCTTCCCAGTGCACCAGCCCTGAGCACTTGTCTCATGCATCCAACCTGGGCTGGTGATCTGTTTCACCCTTGATAGTATACTTGTTTCAATGCTATTCTCTCAGAACATCCCACCCTCGCCTTCTCCCACAGAGTCTAAAAGTCTGTTCTGTATTTTTTTTAGTTGTCATACCAAACATTAGAAATAGAAAACTCAAGGATACCATGAAATTGAAATACAGTATTCTGAAGATAAATGGATAATTTAGGTATCACTATCTAAAAACAATGTACCAAACATTATGATACAAATATAGTCACTAATCTCAACTTAGAAAAACATTCATGTGAATTAACTGGTACAGTAGAGAAAACAGCTACACAGTTTATAAAAATTTAAAACAATATTACAGGTACCACATGAAAAATAAAGACTTATGTATTTCCCCAAATTCTACATCTTAAGTGGCCAGTACAAAGAGTTTTCAAGTGTTTTTTTGGTTTTCATTTTAACTGTCTTACCTTGGCTTCAATTTGTCGATAGCAAGAGATACCATATATAGTGGCTCCATTTCCATTTCTGGGTGGCAAGTGAAAAAACACAGTATCTAAGAGATATACAGAAAAATGTAAATACCAAAGTAGATTACTTGTATTTAATAATCAACTCTGACATTAGTATAATGAAGTCATTGAAACAAAAATGATGAAGTAACAGGAACCCATGTCAGATTTATTTCTAGCATCAAACCACTGGTTTCTTAGAATTCCTCTCACTGCCTTTCAGTGTATACTCATCACACAAAAAGCTCTAGAGGCTGAATTGTAACGGGATGAGTTGAAACTACAGCTGCCTTTCTCAGAAAATACTTTATTATACAGGATTATCCCAGATTAAAAGAAAGTAAAGAATCATACAAACCAAAGGCAACACAGAAATTTTGAAGAGATCCAGGAAATTCTTAGGACAACTGAGGAAATCTGAATGTAGGCTGGATATAAGGTGGTATTATGGAATTACTGTTAAATCTCTTAGCTGTGGTAAAGGTCAAAATCCAAAGTCATCCCAGGAATGATCTTATTTTTAGAAAATGCAGGCTGAAGTATTTACAGATAAAGTGTCATGATGTTTACAACTGACTTTCAAATAGTCTAGGCAAAACCGTTCAAGTGTTAGTTGCTCGGCTGTGTCCGACTCTTCGCAACCCCATGGACTATAGCCTGCCAGGCTCCTCTGTCCATGGGATTCTCCAGGCAAGAATACTGGAGTGGGTAGCCATTCCCCTCTCCAGGGGATCTTCCTGACCCAGGGATTGAACCTGGGTCTGCAGCATTGCCGGCCGATTCTTTACCGTCTGAGCCACTGGGGAAGTATAATATAGGCAAAACCGTAGACATATATAAAGAAAATCTGTCGAATATTTACTATTCTTCCAACTTTTCTGTATGTTTAAAAGCGCTCATACTAAAAATATTTTTACAAAGAGATTTGTGAATTGGCTACACTCCGATTCAAAATAGAAAGTTAAAAAGGTTTAGGAGGTTAAAAATACAGCATTTAAATTTTATGGTAAACTGCATAGTAGGATTTACCTTATTTCATACAAAAATTAATAAATTTTAGAAAAACAAGCAACCAACCCAAGTTTAATCTGGTGTCTTGGAAGAGCCTATAAAACCATGATAAAGCATATTTCTTCATTAAGCCATTCAAAGCACTCATGTATAGGGTGATAGGAGATTCCATACTAACTTCACAGCACTGCTCTCTTTGAGGGTGTTAACACGCTCCCCACGCATGAAAACTTTTAAGCAGACTGTGACGGCAATGCTTCAGGAGAAGAGAAACAATCCCGGGTGTTTTCAGGTGGGCACTGGAAGATGAAGCTAGTCAACTTGTAGCTAGAGCTTCAATCAGCCTGCAGCTGGTGCAGGTAACTTTCCTGAGTTTGTCTCTGAGAGGAGTCTGAGGTTTAAATATAGAAAGTGCTACCAACAGGAGATGTCCTAATATGGCTAATCACTTACCTTGGCCAGAGCTCTTGACAAAAGAGTGGCCAAGTTCACCAACCATTAGCAATATAAGCCTGGTACTTCTCTGCAGATCCTCTAGTATAAATAACCAACTAGTCATCTTCAAATAACCATTTAAATATTTTATCAATAGTCACTAGGCCAAATGTCTTTCATTACCAAAGTACTCAGACTCTAAGATGTCTGAGCAAATTTGGAAAAAAAAAAAAAAGGGCACCTATTGATTGCTCCACTGTGAGTTTACATACCTTCTTGGTAGTTGTGTGCGCCATCTGGTAAGGCAAGGAAGGGCAAATACTTCCATTCTTCAGGTAAGGTGTGACTATCATGTCCATCTCCTGGAATCAGGGGCGGGTAAGAGAACTCAACCTAAAATGGTAAGGAATGTTAGCCAACAGGGTGAAGATCAAAGGGAAAGTTATACCTCGACAGGCAAAAATGCTTTCAAACTCTCAATGACAGAAGTAAGGATAAGCCACGCTTGTTGATGCCATTTGTCAATATCAACAAACCTACGGGTATAGGAGAAGAAAAAGGAAAAAGGAGGAAAAGGGGAAGAAAAACAAAAAGTAAGCCTTTCCCCTTTTTTGATTTAAAGGAATTTAATTTTGACATGTGTGAGGGTAGGGTGCAGTGGTGGTGGTGACTGAATTGGAGATGTACGTTTGGGAGTTGTTATCAAATAGATGGTAACCGAAGACAGGGAGCGCTGAGAAAAACCAATATCCTCCTGACTGAGGAGGAGAGATCCAACGAAGGAGCCTGAGAAGCGGAGTCATGATCTAGCTTTGCTTCCCATCAGTTGACTCCCTTGCTCCCAACACTGGAGCTTATGGTTTCAGTGGGCTGTTAGGGGGTAAGTGGGCATGAACTACCACTGTAGGTTATTTTCTGTCCCAAGATTGAGAACTGATCAATGAAGTCTCTCTAATACTGTGTCTTAGAGAAATAACAAAGTTTTTAGCATAAGCTGCCAGTTTCTGGCATTCCCCATGTTTACCAGTATTTTTCCCTCTGCTTCTTTGTCTTTTGGTTATCTCAATGAGAGCTGACAAATTCAATGCTGAAGACCTGGACTGTATCACACTGACTTACATTTAATTTTCTTTCAAAGTATACTTAAAAGGGATTTGCATTGCATCGGTAATAAATACACTAAAGTTGGAGCAACATAGGAATGAGAATCACTTTTAGATCTCATCTTTAATGTGGAAGGACATGATGGCTGATTTTCCTACATTTAAGGTAATCAAGGTGCCACTAATCATGAGAGCTGATTATAAAAGGGCTTTAAAAATGATTATTTTTAACAAGTAATCTAGTGCCATACTGAAATGTTTAAACTTCCCTGCCCCCCACCTCCAGAAGCAATCAACATTTCAGTTTGAAAGGATTTCTCAAAGGTTTGGATTGTGGAGTCAAACTTTCTCTCCAAGATCAGTTATTTAATATCAGTTAACTGGAGGCAAAATAATATAAGCTACATTCACATCTCTGGGTCTTCTCTATCATACCAGTTTTATACTGGCAATTCTTCAAAGTGTAAGGGAAGGCAAAATGTGCCATAAAGAGATGTAAGTTCAAAGCTGAAGCTATGAATCTGGTAGTTAGTTACAAAGTTAAAAAAGAAAAAAATTAACAACTCAGAATCCTTGGTTTAACAGGAAAAACAACAAACCCCCACACACAAAATACCAAGGAAATAAATTATTGTATTTTATGTAAACACTAAAGTCCAATATATAACACTTAACATAAGAAGACTTGGTAATTATTACAAAATAATTTCATTTGAAAAACCACTAATTTTAATGTATAGTATTTACTTAAAAAATATTTAGTATGGAATAAACATGCTTTTAAATAAATATAAACATCATGGATTCAAATTATCACAAGTACATCAAGAAGTATGTTGCTCTTTATGATCCAAAAAGTTTTTGCCAACTAAAAATTATTACTTGAAACCTGTCTCTACAAAGATTAGACACTAACCACCGCAGTCACGGACCTTCAACATACTCTGAACGGAATTTAGGGCAGAGATCAGGAATGAGGCACTCTGTGGTCTCAGAAAAACTGGCAGAGAAGGATGTCAGATATTTTCAGAATATTTATGAGCCTAAGTTCTTACATCTTCTTATATCTAGAAAAGCACTAAAATCATTGACAAGGATATCTGCTCCTTGTGACTAGCAGTAACCCTTTGCCAAATGTGTGCTTAACTCCATGTATCCCCCCTTCACCAAAATCACACAGTATTGATATATATACTGACCTCCCCAGCTACCTCTTCAGAGCAGTTCCTCAGATGTTTCTGAGAGGCTGTCTCCAGGGCTATAGTCCTCATTTTGCCCCCAAATAAAATTTAACTCACAGCTCTTAGGTTGTGCCTTTTTTTTTCATTCGACAAGTTTAATCGTGAAAATTCCAAAAGAAAGTAGTAAAACATTGCTCAATCTCTTATTTAAACATAGGAAAGGAATTTCAAAATTTTTACTCATTATTGAAAAACATGAAAAAATTACTCACTTTGTGTTGACAAGAGTATGGGGTTTGGCTGTGCAACTATAAATTGGTACAGCAGTTTGGGTGGCTATTTGGCAGAATTATCAAATCAATAATACATTTACTCTGACTTAAGTTCTATTTTAGAAATTTATTCCAGGAATACACACAGATATTCACATGGAGAAGTACAAAAATGTTCACAGTGATATGACTTACTGTAGCATAAAAATTGGAAACCTAAATATTCATCAGAGGATTGGTCAAGTAGATTTTACATCAGTTCTCTCATGCTGTTAAAAAGAATGGTAGATTTATATATATAGATAAAGCAAGACAGGTATGATATACTGTAAAGTACATAAAATCAAAGCCCTCCAGACATGTCCATCTCCTAATTCTCAGAATCTGTCCTTTCATTACAATGCAAAAGGGATGTTCCAGATAAGATTATCTCCAGACTGGGATTATCCAGGTGGTCCCAATGTAATCACAAGGGTTCTTATGAGAGGCAGAAGAGACAGAGTCAGAGACAGTGAAGATGATATGCTTCAAGATGCTTTGAAGATGGAGGAAGGCACTTGAGCCTTCAGAAGTCACGTGAGCGAAGAGAAGGAATGCAGGTGACCTCTAGAAGCTGGAAAATGCAAGGAAACGAATTCTCCCCCAGATTATCCTGAAGCAACGCAGAGCTGCCAACACCTTGATTTTAGCCTTAGTGAAACCCATTTCAGATTTCTGACCTCCAGAACTCTTAATAAATTTGTGCTGTTTTAAGTGTGTGGCTTATGGTAACAGTAATAGAAAATTAATACATACTATTAAATTTAATGAGGAAGCAGAGTATCAGTAAATATAGTATAATCCTACTTCTATTGTAATCCCATTTATGCAAACAGTTACATAGCACATCTTTGTAAATGATTTAAAAAACATCCCTGAAAAAAATCTTTAATATAAAGAGGTTTTATCTCTGGAGGTGAGGAAGGTTGGAGATAAAAGAATATTTCTGTTTTTTTTTCTCTCATCGTTTTTTAAAATTTCCAAGTTATAGAAAATTTGAACAATCTTATAACTTTCATCTGTATTCACAAATTGCTTATTTTTGTCAACATGTGCTTTATTTGTGTTGCATGTGTATACAGATACATTTTCTAAACCACTTGACAGTAAGTTGAAAATATTATCATTTACTTTTAAGTAAACTAGTATTTATTTTTAAATGATTGCTTTTAGAATGAAAAATAAGCAAAAGATAACCATAAGCAGTTCCTAATTTCTGAAGGAAATCTTATCTCTATCCTATCTTTTTGAAAGCAAAGGGAGGTGAAAAGATCTATTTTTCTGATGATTTAGTTAACAAGTTACCAATGGCCAGAGTCTAATTAATATCTGATGTTATGTTCATTATATTCTCCTGATTCTACTGAAGGAAGATGTGCTTTGAGTGACTCTAGTTGGAATATAAAATATAGTCAACTCATAAAATTGATTTAAGTGTAAATGTGCTTGAAGAATTCCATGAGTAGAATAAGGCAGCTTTAGACTGACTTGCACCCAGAATATTTATAACAATGCTTCTTTGGAAATATGTATTCAGAATTTCAAACAGCCAACTTTTGTGATACAACTTTTTACAAATTGAACATTGCCTATATTGTGTTGGCAACTTTCTAGAATTCTACTGGTTTACCTGCCACCAACAAATCCGTGCATTTGGAGACTACTAAGCTTGCTAATCAAGTTTATAACACTTCCAGACAAATTCCTTTGTGTCTACACATATACAACAATTTCAATATAGTTTTGTTTCATTATTTAGTCAACTCTCTACTGTTGAATATTTTTTATAGCTTTTTTAAAACATTATTTTTAGCTATACAGGACAGTTAAATGGGATGTAATAAAAAATATATATTTGACCTATGTCCCTGGTCCTGACCCTAAGCTCCTACAACCCTTTGGAATGTCCCAAGTGATAGAAACATCTTTTGTTATTCATAAGATGATGCTTGCAATCACACCAATGTCTGAAGGCAGGAGGAGAAGGGGAGCAAAGAGAACAAGATGGTTGGATGGCATCACTGACCCACCCAATGGACATAAGTTTGAACAAGTTCTGGGAGGTGACGAGGGACAGAATGGCCTGGTTGCTGCAGTTCATGGGGTTGCAAAGAGTCAGATACGGCTGAGCAACTGAACAACAACAAGCTAATGAGGTGACTCCCAGTTCAGTTCAGTCGCTCAGTCGTGTCCGACTCTTTGCAACCCCATGAATCACAGCATGCCAGGCCTCCCTGTCCATCACCAACTCCCGGAGTCTACTCAAACTCATGTCCATCGAGTCGGTGATGCCATCCAGCCATCTCATCCTCTGTCAACCCCTTCTCCTCCTGCCCCCAATCCCTCCCAGCATCAGGGTCTTTTCCAATGAGTCAACTCTTTGCATGAGTTGTTCCATACTTCGCCAAAGTATTGGAGTTTCAGCTTCAGCATCAGTCCTTCCAATCAACACCCAGGACTGATCTCCTTTGGGATGGACTGGTGGATCTCCTTGAAGTCCAAGGGACTCTCAAGAGTCTTCTCCAATACCACAGTTCAAAAGCATCAATTTTTCGGCGCTCAGCTTTCTTCACAGTCCAACTCTCACATCCATACATGACCACTGGAAAAACCATAGCCTTGACCAGATGGACCTTTGTTGGCAAAGTAATGTCTCTGCTTTTTAATATGCTATCTAGGTTGGTCATAACTTTCCTTCCAAGGAGTAAGCATCTTTTAATTTCATGGCTGCAGTCACCATCTGCAGTGATTTTGGAGCCCAAAAAAATAAAGTCTGACACTGCTTCCACTGTTTCCCA